TTAACTGGGGTGAAAGTAATCACATCACCCTATTATCTCAAATTTACAAAAAGTAATGTAATTTAGTATTAAATATAGCCTCTGGTTAAGATGTTCTCCATTTTTAAATATCATTTTGCAAAAAAATCTTAATTAACCTTCTATTAGATGCATCTCAATCACAGAGAATTTTTTGAAGAAAAGAGAAAAAAACAAACAACAAAACAACAACACTCAAGATTGGCAATTATGTGTGCACTCATCTGCAAATAAAAATCATTTACCTACAAACCCATCTATAAATTTGCTATTCTAATGAAATCACAGGAGAAAAGGTGTGGAACAAATCTCCACTGAGTGAACCCTAAAACATATGACCAGCAGTTCTTGGATAAATAAATTCTTGTAACATTACTATTGTGATGAGCCCCATCAGTATTAGTTGCTTTCCTTTCATGAACTGCTTTTGATTTTGAAAGAACCCTTCACACTCTAAACAATTTTCTTACAAATAAATAAATAAAATATTAATATTAAATTAAACAAAATTAATAAAAAATTAAGTAAAAGTAATAAAAAAACTAACTTTCCACACACTTTAGTTTGCTGAAAGTTTGCAAGTTAACTTTACATTGGAACAACAAAGTGGCTCAGCAAGAAATAAGTCTGCCATTTTGGACTAGCTTACTGAATTTCATAATCTATACATAAACAGACACAGTTCCCTATGATTTGCACCCACATTCAGTGTCCATCATTATCCCAGGCACATTTCACAAAAATTTTTCAGATTCACACAGCAATTGCCTTTTTTCCATAGTAAGTGTATTTCTTACCCAGGTTTCAACTCCTTTTGAACAGCATCCCATTCAGTCTTGGCCATTTTCATTAGGGTCTTAAAGTCATCAGTATGCTCAGAACTTTCTGTATTTTCTGATGGTTTACCAGCTACTGCTTCTACATCCACTTCATTAGACTTTATAAATTAAATCTTATTACTCTCACTGATATTCAAAAAATTAGCACATTATTATGTTAATAAAATAATCACCACCTTATCTGGACTTGCACCAGCAGTAGGAGCAGCATCATCACCTCTTAGACGAGCTAATCGTTTTGCAATTAGTTCTTCAGGACTAATGTGTTTAACTGCCAATATCTGCTCCTCAATAAGTTGCTTAATTAGATCATTTGTCTTCTGTTCATTTGACCGTGTATCTGGCAAGTTGAAAACCTAAACAAGCATAAGTTTCTAACAAACAAATATCCATGACTTTTACCCACCTTACATACCACTCAGATAAATCAATAAGATTTACAGAAGTGTCTCATGAATGAGACCATACGGACAATAAAGTTAAATGCCCAATTATTGGAAAGTAAATTAGAAGAAAACAAAAATACTTTATAAAAATCATTACCTAATTAAAACTTCTGAACAAAAACCAATAAATACAAAAAGGAAAAATTGAGTTGTATTCAGTAGTTATAAAATAATTCTTCAATATCCCTTAATTGCACCACAAACTTGAAAACTTCAAAAACAAAATTTCATGCACAGGTTTCTGGCACACTACCACCGGACATGACATTCCAGAATGCACTACAATTTAATAAGTAATGAAATACTATACAATACTATAAAATTATCACAATTCAGTAACTAATATTAAAGCAAAAAAGGAAAATTTTTAAAGCCCACCTCTTTCTTCTTTAATGTCACTTCCACAGCAGTCTCCGGATTCTGGCCCTTAAGAGCTGCCAATCTGCGAACTATATCTTCTTCTGTTGGCACCTCACGTTGACGTTTTCTTTCATCCTTCAATTTCTCCAGTCGTTCAGCGATCTCTCGATCTTCAGCCGTCAATCCAGTCTTTAATTGTTCCATGCGAGAATCGTGATGGTAAACTGTGATCGGAGGTCGAGCTGGATTCTCCAAAGACTCTAATCTTCTACAAATAAATGCTATTATATTATTACAACACACTAACACAAGTTATTGATATTGATAATGACAGAAATGTATATTCCTCTCCAAAATAAAATTTATCTCACCCGAAATATAACTTTAATTTTGCTTATAATAAAAAAAAGTATCTAGTATTCTTATTATGTGTAGAAATCAAAGCTAAGCTTTGGGCAAAAAGCTAGTGCTTCTAGAATAACAACAATAAATAAATAATCTTGGAATAAGGACAATCACAAATTTGTTAAGTGAAAAGTGTTTATTTAATTAATTATTTTTTTAATTATTGTGCCACGATTGCAAATTTAATAAACAATTTTCATATTACGTATATCTAAACAACGGTAATACATTTATAAATTCAATTTTCTATGTGTGTGTTAATATTGGTAAAACAAACATGGTGATGACCACCTCTAAGATAGCTAGATGGTGTTGAGGAAGACCTAAAATGATAAGGAGTGAAAAATTGGAGGAGGAAGGCACAGGAAAGAGATCAAAATCCTGAAGGTGGCCTAAGTTCACTTATGGACTGCTGTGCCCTATGAAGAACAACAACACCAACAAAACTAACATGAATGTAGGGAAGAAGTAGAATCAAGACCATTAATTGTACTTTCGGGTGCCAATTTGGAGGAGGATAGGAAATACAAATATCTCTTAAGTTATTTTAGAAAACCATTAAATTTTAAATAAAATGTTGAACACATTAACAACAAAAAAGTATTAGTTAATTTTGATGTCTCAATTGCAATACTGGCCAACTTCTTTCTATTAAAAATAAAAATGATACTAAAAAGATACCAATAAACATCAACAAGAGTATTGGAGTCATTTTAAAACAAAGGCCAAATGTTAACAATAAGTGAAAAGAATTACAAGATTTAATAGTTCAAAAAGAAATACAAAGATGTACTAATTTTTATTTACAGATTAGAAAATAAATTATTACCAAAACATTAGGATGATTAGTAAAAAATGGAGGAAGGGGGAGATTTGTCACTACTCAACAACACAGGCTAATAAATTCCATAAAAAAAAAGCAAAGTATACAAAACAATATTTCATGAATGACTGACAATGCACAATGAATTATCACAGCAAATAAAGCAATCTATGCCAATTGGAAAATTCAGTGCGGTGTAGCAGTCCGGTTGGATAGTAATAAGTATGAAAATACAAGAATGTATGAATTATAAGTCATTGTATTCTCAAGCTGGTAAATCTACTTATATCGTCATAGAATTAGTTAATATACTGAATTGTTATTGTTACAGAAATTTTACATAGCTTTGTAAAAATTAGTAAATTTTAAATTTCCCTTTTAAATTACTATGTACACAAAACATATTGGTATTTGAATTATTCAAATATCAATATGAAAACATCAACTATTTGAAATAAACACACCACACGAAAATACCAAATAATTTTATTGTCCCTAATCCAACAAAGAATACTTATAATACAAGATAGTAGAAATCCATAATACGTTAAAAAAATGTATTTAGGATTGTGACAGGCTAGTGGTTGGGAAAAGTTTTCTAAACTGTGGGACCCAGGTTCAAACTCCATCTAATCTGGGGAATTTTGTCTGGCTCTGTCTTATTCAGCATGATCCAGCCGTCTGCTCAGAATCCTTTCAAAATGAGAACCAATATTTACTGGATTTATTAACAACAAACATTGGATAAATATGCGCAAGAAGCATGGCACTTGCTACACTATCTTCTTGCCACTTCCAGGAACGTCAGCGAGATCTCTTATGACCCATTACCCATTCACAGGGTCCTGGATGTGAAGAAACAAAATCCTACAAAGGGAGTCAAATGTGTGGAGTCCTTATCTACACTTATAGTATAGATTATTGTGAATTCAACAACTTGTAATCGACATTGATACCACAAAAAGTGAATGAATAGATACGAAAATTTTACAGGCTTTCTTGAGGATTGTCACGGTGTCCTTACACAGTTTGGTAAAGATTAATACAACACAAATGCAGAAAATAAATAATCCAAATAATATGTTGGTAGATTTACCACAATCATTTTTCGCCTGTTGCTAAGAGCAGATTGGTTCCTAATATATTCCACTAGAAGTCCACAGCAAAGCAGCAGAACTGGTTCCTAATAGATTTGCTAGAGGTCAGAAGCAGTGTGCAAGATAAGTTTTAATTTAATACAAATGTTAGGGAAAATAAAATAAAATTATACTATTTTATTCAAATTTGAAAAAAATTACATTAAAAAATAATAAGCTTAAACACCATAGTTCATATAAAATCGATCTTTTTCCTCTTTCACAAGCATTGGATAAGAAGAAAGCTCGGGCAACACTACATATCTTGTTAGACTTTTATAACCCCAAGTAGATTGTACACACTGCACTTAAATGTTCCAAGGATTAAAATATAGGAGTATACATTTTTGCAGAAATAAAAATAATAAAGTTTTTAAATTCTTAGTAAAAATTCATCAGAAAGTACATTTGTACATTTTTTTCAAGGAATCAATTAAAAAATATACAAAACATTTCATTCACCTTACCAAGGACTCTACCTCACATTTCCTAATATCTATTCCATTTCCACGAGCACCAGTGACATTTGTGGTGATGTATGAAATACTGGGAATACTTGGCAAATTGGAAATATTAGGAAGGACAAGTTGAGATCTGAAGGAGAACACAAACAGAGTATATAACATATGATGGAACAAGGTACTTCATTATTTCATCTCACCTCAAAAATACATCTGGGGGAGAGCGACATTCTTTCTCTTCGTCTCTTTTTTCACTTGAATTCTGGTCATAACATGATTTGCATACATTTTGCTCAGTTATGCCCAGCCTCGGGATAACAGCTTTAAAACGCAAACACTTTTTGCAAAATGCGAAACCGCAGCTAGGGCACCCTTTCTGCAAAACAACGCCAAAACATACCGCAGCATCCGTAAGCGCATTTCCTAATTTTAAGATTTTTTTAAAAAGGTAACAGCGACTGCTTATGTGTTCCGCATGTTTTACACACTTGCCTCTTTGGTGAACACTCCAAATTTCGTCGCACAGCCGTGACAAGACATTCTCGCAATCAACAATAATCAATGAGGTACGACGCGAGACAGAAAACGTTAATTCCACATATTCCAGTCAGGTGGACAGGTTTAGTAAGCCCAGAGCTGTCACTGGTCCGTAGATGAACATGATCGCTGGCTATCGACCGTCGACAACGATACGTAGGGAGATTGAGAAGTTTGTGTTACCTCGAACGTTAAAGCACTATCGATCTTCTGCTCATGCGCAGTTTAAGTTTCGCACTATTTTAGTGTATCTGCGCCAGGTATTAGTTACGAAATCGGCCACTAGATTTTATGCAGCAATGTCAATCTCTGGAGAATCAGTCAAACCTTCGCACCTTTTTCAACAATTTGCGTTCTAACTTTCTCAGGAGTTCGAGGTATCTCCTGTGATGGATATTCACCTGCCTCGGCCATTTTTTTACATTTTGTGGAGAAAATCACGGACAAAAGTTCTTCAACAAAAAATAGTTTATATTTCGCGCCAGTGAAGTTGTGTTTGGAATGTTGTCATCAGTGCTCGCTGCGAACTTTTCCCTTCAACTGTTCCTTGTGCCAGAGAGGGGAAGCAAGGTCTTTATTCAAGAAAAGTTGCGCGAGTAATATTAAAGCTACGATGTTTTAGGTTATTTAAGTGGGGATAAGTGATAACGTATTCTCTGAAAACTCAAATTGTCATTGTGTGATGATAACATTAAAATACAAGTAATTCTGTATTTTTTCACTAATTTAGAAGTTAAAAGATAAATTATGAAAATGTCTCCGGTATCGTTTGATCCTAACTCTGTGACAGATGAAGAGTATCTGGTATTGAAAGCCAAAAGTGTTTTATCACACGATCCTTGTGCTGCCAAAGCATGGATGATCACTGCTAAAACGCTTTTTCCTAGTAATTTTGGTGTTCAGGTAAGAATGTGAATATTTTAGTCCATATGAGTACTTTTAAATGTTCAGTGAAAAAGTCTGTAATTATACTTTATCTTAATTTCTTATGTTTAGTTTGAAGCGTATCAAATAGAAAAGTCTGCTAGGAGTGTAAAAGAAGCTGCCAAATGCTTTGGTGATATGTATGTAGTCTATTTAATATCTTTTAATCTCTGTTTTTCAATGATTTAGAATACATCAACATTCACTGTATGCTTTTGTGATTCTTAGATTCAAGAACTTTCAGGAAGAGAGAGAACTGTGGCAGGAAATTCAAGCTCTAACTACTGCTTTGAGGTCTGAAAATGGTGATTCTAATTATTCCTTTCTTCGTGAAATGTTCAGCCACATTCCTCAAGGTTCGTACTCTTTCATTAGAATTAATTCCTTTGAGTTTATTTTTGTACTATGTAAACTCTTTATAGATGTGCAAAGAGATCTGCTGTTAGTATCAGCAGATCGCAGTGAAGATACAATGGAACATTGCCGTCTGCTCCTCCTCCTCCTTCGTCAGTTTCCTCGAAGTGTTGTGGAGCATGGGGTAAGTTCATAGAAAAAGTGTTTGTAGTTGTTTCCTCAGTCATTAAACAGAATTTTTAATTATTATTATTATTATTATTTGTCCAGCCTCCCTTGGTTGATACCCTGATGACTGCAGAGAAACATAGCCACTATCAGAACGCTGTCAATTGCTACAGAAAGTTATTAGGCAAGTTTTGCATTAGATATGCCAAATAATTATTTTAAATTACATTTAGCAATATGCCTTTTTTTATTTCCTAAATTATACTGCTCCTGAAATTTTACTTCATAAATTCTGAAGTATTTATGTTTTGCATACCTCATTTAACATGTAAATGTGGGACTAGAAAATAAATAGAAAATGCCTTTTGTTACAGTGTGTGATTTGTTGCCATTGCTGGGATCAAGCTTGGTCGAACTGCCTGCCAAACAGTTGTTTCGATTACTTCATAAATCTATTGAATTTTACTTAGCATACTTAATGCTTCCAAATAAAACAATAGAGGTACTTATAATTTAGAGGGGATACATATTTATACTAATATGATTTTTTGGGTTACTAATTCTACGATTCAATTTTACAATGCATTTTGAAACTTGTTCATGTGACTGGAATGTCTGTCAGAAGCAGGGATCATTACTATTAACATTTATATATTACATAAACATATTACTTACAAATGATGGACAATGTATGAGAGATTTGAAATATATACCTACCCAGATTTGATTTTATTAATTTCATTGTTTATGCATTTCATAGTTAGCAAAAACATTTGTGAAAAACGGGGGAACTTCATCATTCCCATTCCATCTTATACAAAGTAACTCATAGAATCAATGACATCTTTTTAATTTTCTTTCACTCCTTTAACACATTAGGATTTACCAGATGTAGAAAGCAAAATTGATGATCCGTGGAAAAATCTATTTGCTATACAAGAAATGACTGCAAAAAAATTAGGATGGGAATTAAGCTCACTTTCATCTGGCACTTGGTAAGCACAAAGCATATTGATATAATTATTCATTTCTGTAACAGTTGTTAATTTATTTATTTTTATCAGGAGCAAAGATTCCTACTGGCAGAAATTACTGCAGTTCCGTCAAACGATTGTCCAAACAGATGATCCCACGTACATGAAACACATGATACTTCTTTATTATACAACTACTTTTTTCTTGTTCTGTCTTCACGAGTATGTTGTTTCACTAGAGACAGGTATTTACAACTAATGTATAATTGTTCGTCTGAATATATTTTTAAATCTAAGATACTGAACCATTCTTAGTCGCTGTACATGTTGCATTTGGGGGAAATTAAAAGCTGGTGTCACTTCATTAACATTGCAAGTCCATACAAATGACTGTTGCACTATGTACATCAGTGTTACAGCTTAATGTATTATAATTCTGATGACACAATTCAAGTTGTACAATATGAGTTACCATTGCAAAATTCATCTTAATGTAATTCTGATGTCATATTTTAAGAAATGCAATATGATACCATTGCAAAATTCACTGATGTTTTTCACTTTTATAAAACTCACATTTTATGATACAGAAGAGCATTTCCAGAGCTTATAGAAAAAAGTGTGTTTGCGTCAGTGTAATGCACAGGACTGCTGCAGCATGACACTTGCTTAGTAATGGGCAGTTTATTTGATTGATTTATAGTATTTACCATGCTTTATTATCTTACAGAAAAAGACCAAATGTGGAATGTAAATTTTCTATCAACATAAATTAATGTACCTACTTTCTCAGCATAAACATTTAGTGTACTTCTAAATATAGATATATTTAATCAGGGAGCACTCAGTGGGCAGCTTGATGGAACTAAGACTTCTGATGAGCCTCGTAAAACCCCCAACTTAACAATTTCTTCTGTCACCAACTTTGATTTTCATATGTACAACTTTACAATTGGTGTGTGATGAAACTTCACCTTATTGCAGTAATAAAATCATATTTGCTACTTAGTTGCAAAGAAGTATGTTAATTTTACAATAGTTACCATAAACTAGGGCTAGTCAATATTTTTGTCAAATTTCTGGCAATGCCCTTTCTTTAAATAGTATACAGTCATTCATAATATGAAATTTTTTCGTATGGTCATCTATTTGGCCAAAACTTTGTTGATACTATTATTAATTTTTATACAAATTTTATTGGGAATAAAATATTAATGCAGTACAAAAGACTTTGATAGTGATTTGTCATGTTGGAACACTAATTAAAACTTTGAACATAAATTAGTGTAGAACTTTGATCACTGTTTCAAACAAAATCTAGATAAGGAAAATCAATCTCACCATTAGGTATTGTTGCCCCCTTAGTTCAGTCAACAAACTCTAACAAAGGAAATAAGCTGGTGCCAGCACACTTTTTCTTGTAATGCTCTGATATCACTTTGAATTACATGATGCAATTATCGATGATGAAACTACAATGTTGTCAATCTTGTGCAACTTTCATATCTCTTAAAAAAATGATGAATCTGTATAGCACAGTAGACTCCAGCAGTATTTGCTATGCTAATGCAGATATTGGAAAGAAAGAATATAATTTTTAATTTAGCCAAATAGCTCAAGCTACTAATACCATAAAAGGATGAGATGTATATGATAATCTTACATTTAATTTTTTTATAAGCTTTGTGAATTGTAAAAGGGGTAATAATTTTAAATGTCATTGTTATTAGGTGTGGGAGATATGCCATTATTACTAGTGGAGGCATTCTGCAGCAGACAAGATCAAGAGGATTCCATTGGAGAGCCAAAAGCTAAACGACGGAAGCTTGATGGAGATGAATCCTCAACGCCCCTCATTACTGTTGCAAAACCACCTGTTGGACAGTCAGTGCCACCTGTTGTTCATAATTATATTATGGCTGTACGATGCTGGGATCTCCTTCACAGCACTGAGTACTTGGAAAGAGGTATGTTTAAATCTATGGTTAATTTTTTTGTGTTTGCATCCTAAACATAAAACAAAATTAGAAGAAAGGTTACGAATCCATTTATAATATATAAAGGTCTGAGAGGAGGATGATGTATTGCTCCTACTCTCATCAAACTATATTTAAATGTTGCTTTTGAAAATTGGAGTAAAAATGTCGGAATATGATGATACAAGTTGACAATGATAAATTTTTTACTCTTTACTTTGCTGATGATCAGGTTATTCTTGCCAAGGATGAACAAGAGATAGATTATATACTGAGGAAACTAAATAAAGTATATACACCTTGGGGTTTAATTATGAATCCATCGAAAACTAAGTATGTTTTTGTGGGGTCGCAATGATGAAACTCCATAATTGGGTAATTGAGAGCAGGTTTATTAAAAATACAACGGCTTATAAGTACTTTGGTTTTTGTGCATCGAAGGAAGGTGGAAGTGCAGAAGTAAAACATACAGTTGAGTAATGTTTTGTATAACCAAAAAGAAATCAATGTTACTAACAGATTGTAGTTTTATTAATAAAAACAGTACTTACATTAAAAACTAGTGAAGCAGGATGACAGGTCTTGCAACAACAATCAAAACAGTTTGTGTGCCATGATTTTTGTCAACAGTGGTAAAGTGTATACAATCAATAGTTCAAAAATTTGCCTTTAAAATAAAACCTGCATAAATTGCTTACATTTATTGATTAAGAAACAGGGTTACATAAGCTACCGAAGTGGAAAAATATTGTTCTTCTGGAAGATCCTGCTTTTAATTTTTTAATGTATCAACTATCACAAAGTATCAAGTAATTAATATTGTTTACATTCACAAAACCTTCATCGTAAAAATAGGCTCTCTGTTATCTGGGTCTGCCAGCATGGCTCGAATATTACGCCACTGGTGCATTGTTATTGGTCAGAAAAGCTTTCGTTCACTGTGAGATATTGCTGAAGCTAAGTGTGTCCGATTATTGCTGATTTGTTTCTTGCATGCACACCCACCCACACACCACTTCTCCAACACAGGAGTGAAGCCAATTTAGAGACATAATTTGTATGTATGTGTATTGTTATTGTGATTGCTTTTTGTTGTAGAATTTACAAAATTAAGTCAACATTTGCGATTGAACAATACATGGTTACAAGGCTTTCTTATCGACACAGCCATATATAAAGGCAAATTTCAAGAAGCAATTGAAAAAATACTTTTTCAAGAAACTACAGCAAGTACTGATTGTCTCCAGAAGAATTTAAGGCTAGCAAGTACTTACCATTCCCTTGGGCAACACTCTGTAAGTGGTCTGTGGATAAATCTTGTCAGCAAGAATTAGAATAGGTTCTCTATTTATATTCTTTTCAGGCTTGCATGGAGCATGTTTTGCAAATAGTAAGTGCTCTGCCTGTTCCTGTAACTTCACTCCAGTTAAGTCTGAGTCTCCAACAACCAAGCAGGTCTGGACGTCATCTGCATTATTTACCAATGCATCGGACACAGATTCTACAGTATTGTGTTAAACTTCTTGTATCAGCACTCAAAGTAAGGATTCTATTTCTCTAGCAAATGAACAACTTGAGAAATATTACAATATCAAATTATTTGACCTGTATTACAGCAATCTCTTTCAAAACCAAACGTCGATGCAGATCTTATTATGGGACACATTTTCACATTGTTGCAATTTGATTGGCCGTTAGAAGAAGATTTAGCCATTCAATTACTGGAACGCATTCATCAGCATGGCAGTTTTTCTTACAGTTTGTTTCAAACATATATAATAAATGTGGACTTGTTGGAAGAATTTATGTACCTATCTACTGAACAGGGTGGATCAGTAGGTCTCGATGTTGTGCCTACTACTCAAACCGTAAGGTAAGACCAGTTGCATTCTTTATTCCTCTAATCTCATCTAGTATTTCTTTGAATTAACTTCAGTTTTGATAGAATTGTTGGAGTAAATTTTTGTAATTACCATCACATACCTCGTCAGATGGAACACATTAATTTATTCATTTCCATTTTCCCCTAAACTATTGTTAACCTTGTATACAACTAATACTGATGACATTATAAATGCTGTCATTCTTTAGAGAAAAAGGAACAGTAGCAAAAATTAATTGTTTGTGTTATCTAAAATACCAATTTGCCAACACACTCATTTACATTCATTCAGTAACTTAATAGGGGGATATTCACAGAGCAGTTTATCGACCAATCTGAAGAATTAATCATTAGATCTCTGAAAATTTACAAATGTCGCTTCATTAGGGAACTGTAGAAAGTAATGAAGTTGTACGATAAATCATAGCAATAATTTGAAGCAATACGTTTTTGTTATTTGATACAAACACAACGATTCATTGTTATTTATCAATCTACATATTATTGTGTTTGAACGGGGATATGATTGAGTACTCACGAGCAAGGAGTTTATTACGGGTTTGTTACATTGTTATAATCTGTGTTAAGAATAGACGTTATGAAGATACAAATAAAAATGAAATAAACAAAAAAATATTAAAAGAAGGCTGTGAGGAATGCAGATGTATATGACTACAAAAATTACAGATATCCCAAAACAGCTTTTCAAAGATCTACAACAATAGCAATGTAATAATAATGATAATGGCAAACTCTTCAATTTCAACATGTAATATGTCATATTTTATAAAATGGCAAAAGATCACAGATAAATTGGTCAGGTACGACTAAATAATCGCTATAAACAACATATGCAGTCGATTCCGGTTTTCGTGAACTTAGGAAATACAATATCCTGGAAATTAATTTCCTTCTGAAAAACAATAAATCGCTTCAGTGTCACAAATTCCAACACCAGCTGGCTTCGAAAAAATATCACTGGCCATGGTAATAATCGGAGAAATCTTCACTGTGGAAACAAAGACCTTATCCTAGTTGGCCATAACTGTGGCAGTGATGCAGGATTGCTTGCTTCAGTTTCAAGTTAAGTGTTGCACATAGGTGACAAGAAGCATGCAAATGTCACAGAATCACGGCCTGACAAGACCGTCTGTGCCGAGTGAAAATACAATCAGTTTCATTAGCCACTTGTGCCATGCTGCTACCAGAAGGATCTTGTATGTTATTAGGCGATTAAAAAGTGAAGAGTGGCACAGTGTTCCTCCAGTGGAAGAGGTATCAAGGAGTCAAGATTGCATTGTAATACTTTAAGTTTACTGTATATCTGTATTTAAAAAAATCAATAATTGTGGAGAAATTCTATTTAATTTTAACACCTTCGGATAAAGTGAACCAGAAGTTCACTATAATTAGAGTGGACTGTATGTCCAATTAAATTGAGAAGACATATTGGTTCAATAAAACACTGCATTAATACATCATGTATGATTTAACTGAGAAATTTATTTAACAATTATTTCGTGCAATTTAAACACAACAATAAATTGTGTATCCTTCCAATGTATTTCTTCTACTACTAAGAGCACTTTTCCTATAATGTAGCATGTGGCACACAATGAAAGCATTTGAATCTCAAAAATATGCCACTCTGAAATCCAAAACAATTGTATTATTTAGATTATTTAGATTGTGTGTGTGTGGGGGGGGTAATTTTCTGTCCTTCAGTTTTCCCTAAGAAGTAGCTTCATAACCTAAATTCAACCAGGGCCTTTACTTTCCATCAAAATTGGTGACAAAGGTGGGGGAGGGGGTGCTAGCGTCACAGGGTACAACTGCAGATTAATCTCATTATCTACCACACTCGTGAGAATTATGAAAAGTGTCTTCTAAACTTTTAATTCATTGTTCATAATGTACACTCAAAAGTTTGCACTGAAGTTCACATTTTCTTGTAACATTTGCACCTGCTTGTATTTTGAAAGCCCATGTATCAGTTTGTATTTTAGTTCCTATAAGAAGGTGCTACAGAGAGAAGTGTGCCACTGATATGGTCTCATTCCACCATGTTATATGGAAGTTAGCATGAAATTAAAATATACGAGGTCAACGTTTGGGAAGAATAACATGAATATAATTTTTTGCAGCCAGCGACGTATTTCTACAAGAGGTGTGGACAAAGGTGTGAAAGAAGATTTCAAACAAGCCATGAAAAGACAAGCTGCAAGGAGTGAAGAACCTTTAGATTCCTTGATAATAAAGTTCCTTGGCAACGAACGAGAACTACTTTTGCATTCATTATTGTAATCTCCAAACATTTCATATTTTTTTACAAATTAAGCTGTTACAATAAAATTATTAATTTTATTACATCATGTTCACTGAGTTTTTCATGCCAGTTATTGACAACATACAATAACAAAAACAGTCTTGTGCAGTGTAACTCACTTAACATCAGTCACATCTCTCTTCTCTATGTGTCTCAGCTGTGTCTTTCTCATCCTCTTGATCTTCGCAGAGCTCTTGATCTAAAACAATGATTCTTTTTTAATACATTGATTCATTTTATCCACTCTTAAATTGTAACATTTTTCATTAAACTTGTTTCCTTCATAAAGAGGAAAAGAAAGAGGTCTCAACAATATGTGATGGACATGATTAATACAAATGGAACGTGGTAATTACAGATACCATTCATTATAATTCGATAAAACCAATGTAACAAATTTCACCACCAGAGAACACATTCAAAATGAATTTACAATTGTATATAAGGACTTATTAGAAAAAAAGAAGAAAAAAAACAGTTCGATTAAAATGCATGCACAATGTTCAAAACTTCAAGAAAATCAGATAGAAAAATCCATTACACTGAATATCTGTACGCAACTTCGACAACTGGCATGCTTGTAGAATACAGATTCAACACTCCTTGTTAAGTAAAATATAATTTTTGAGGCAGCGTATAAATCTGACACCAGGCACAGTTATCATCATTTTAAAAATTATTGTAACTAAAATTAGCTTTCTCTTTGAGGTCAAATTGTTTACTTGTAAGTATTTTCATTCAGGACCAGGATCTTTGTAAGTGATCCTCTTCTTGCATGTTTTGTCACTAGGGGGTAGATTTTAATGATTTTTTTTCTTCCCACTTTAGAACAATGCCACGTTTAGTGAAGAAGTTCATTTTTTATGTTATGACAAAACCAAACAAGCTTGTTTTATATCACTTCTTTTGCAATTTTTTTTCCCCAATTTCAGTTCATAGGTAATTTTTACTGCATATTTCACTGACTTTACTTCATTGCTTAAGAGTACAACGTATGTTCACTACAGAATTCTTGGGGAGCCTATTCGATTTCTTCACTTATATATGGTAACATCAGCCGTTGTTATCTAACGTTCCTGTGATGACTACTGACTACCTACCCATTGGCAGTTCCGCCAAATTCACGATAAATAAAGGCAGAGATTTTCTTTTAAAGAACAGTACAAACGAAGCAAGTTCAATTCATTTGAAGAGGAAAAAGGAAGAAGTCTCTATTGCATCAGTAACATATCCAGTGGCTTGAGTTGTTCATCTGAAGTGGTTTTGATCCAATTTTTTTAACGTCATTTTTCTTCATTTTATAGGGAATTTTTGCCCAGGAGATTTCTTTACTACACCTCCTATGTTGAGCCATAGCCCATTAGTATAAAAGGGCGAAAGATTTGTACGAACTGATATACACATGAACTGGCCATGGTTAACCAATTCCACAAGTTTTTTCCTTGCAAACTCATTTGTTCTACATGCTGAATATTTAGAATCTTTATTTAGTAAAGTTTTCGAAAACTTTTTCTCCATAACTCCACCTATGTAAAAGAATTTTCATCCAATAGTATTTAACACGAAATTTACTGCTGAAACATTGTAATAAAATTCAAAACTCTGATCATTATGAAGATTTAAAAATTGATCATTGATTAGTGATTTAAATTGTCTTATTATTATTATTATTTATAACAGGCTGTCAGCATAGAGCGTTGGAGATCTCATTTTTAGTTGCCTTTGAAATTTCTCAGAGGATTACCATTTTTCTGACATCTAAATATCATTGCAGTTAATACAGGAACTGTATTGCTTAGAATTGAATCATTACATGTCCACCTTTGCCCCCCCCCTTTTTTTTCTTGAATATACCTCTATTTTGAAGTATTGAAGTAACACATGTCTAGGACCTAAGGTGTTACAATTCTAAATCACCATAGCTGGATGAATGTTCAAAATGTTAAGTTACGTATAAAAATTAAAAACTGAAGAAAATGTGAAAAGAGCAGGTGTAGGTGAAAAGTTTTACACATAAAATGAGCTGAAAAAGTTAGACAATGTATGCCAAAAGAATGAATTTGTATGTAGCATGGTCATCAATTTCACACAACATTTACCACTACCACACAAACAAGGGGAAATAATATTTTACTACAAACAGCCCTGGGTGAATTTTTCTGGCATTCGCATCTTCAAAAGGATTGGATCATGGAAAATGCCATATTTATACAATATTAACATGTATATACAAAAAACGACCTAATTGTTGGTTTCATTTTTATTATTAGTTGTTAATTATATTCTCGATTATAATATTCCTAACATTGCTATGCAGTTGTATATATTTTCTGATTGTTCTGGTGATCAGAACCACAATCTCACATTAAACAGTTTCTTTTATCGTTAAGTGTAATGAAATGATTTCAAAAAATAAGTGGTTTCCAATTGGGGAACACAACTATATACCATACGGACGCCACTTTGGGGCCATTAAGTGACGTATTAAAAAAACAAGATCATTGTTACATTTCAGAATATAATGCAAAAATGATTACCTCCTGTGGGAAAGGCGTCATTAAAGAAAAGTTATTAACAAATAATATTATTTATGATTTCAAAACATTGGAGAAACATAAAAATTAGTACTGTCTGTAGAAATGTGTGGACAAAGTGTGCCTAAAGAACAAAAAATAAATTTATCAAGTTTCTTTCATTTAAATATTTCCCAGATGGCTCTGTGGTTGCTAAAGAGTTAACTAATTTCGTACACCTTTAACCTTTAAAAATGTATCTGGTTACTAAAATAAATTTAACTTCAAAACAAAAAAGCTTTTCCAAATATATCTATGAATCCAATGAATAATTAATTAAAAAATTGCTGATTATTTAAGTTACTACAGTACATGATGATCATAAATTTCATAACTCGATTTCGTCATGGGATACTATCAAAGTAGAAGAAGATTAACTTGATATGTTCAAAATATTACCCTTTTGCAGGTACACTATGTTACGAAATGTATTCAGTGAAGCTACAGTATATTTCTTTTATGATATCAATTTAATTTTGTTTTTACTTGATATAGAATTTAAATTAATTGGGATAGTGTTTTCCTACACTTGTTGTAGCTTGGTAAACTTACAACTTCACTTCCTCAATGTTTACAACTCACATCACATGTCCATCAACATTGTTTCAAATTTACTTGAGTTATATTTTAAAATTTCTATAATTTCAAGTTAGTACAAAGAACTAAGTATTATAGTTTCCGATTACAGAGTTACCACAAGTATTTTGTTTCTTAGTGAAGAAAAGGATAAGTTTTATTTGTTTACTAAAAAATTAGGTTTTGTGGACATGTGATATTTTAATTCTAAACGATTAAATTTAAATTTAGTAAAACATAGCCTAAATATTGGTTACTTAATGAATAGATTCAAGCAGAGTCGCATGTATTTTCACCCAACGATGACAGATAATCTTTAAAAATAAGTAAGAATGAGTAATGATAGCCTTGCAATACTCATGCTGGTTTAAAAATAACTGTACAAGTTAATTTATCATAAATGTCTCTTTTTACTCCCAATGCATGTTTTGGGTAAAATAATTCACTGGAACTGACATTAGACATATTTTATCAATTTAAATCATAAAAATAGGAATTTTCAATTTGATCTTTAAAAAAAAAATCCAGCAGGCTGAAGTTCTAATACACATTTATGAAGGTTAAAATATTTGCTGACACTGTTAAATATCAAATAGTATAAAAATGACTATCAGACTTTATAGGGACATAACTATAATAAAGTTTCAAAGACGCAGATCAATCTAACATATATTTTGGGAATAATTTAGAGGAAAACTAGTATTTTTTTAAATTTTGATAAAAAAAAAACGAACTGCTTTTGCAGTTTACTGGAATCTTAAGTATAAGAAAAATATGAACACATTAATTGAAATATAGACTGATTTTTATGTGTTTGTTTCATAATATTGCATAATTTAAAGAACAAAAAGATTTTCATCATTTACGATGAACAACAAAATAATTTTTTCGAAAGAAAATGCTATATTATGTAATAACCCTTATTAATATTATACTAGTTGTAGGAAAGAGAAAGAAAGTTCCGATCAAATCAAAAATGGTTGAAAATTCTGGGCCTATTACACAAAGAATTACCTTAATACTATCACTGGTCTCAGCCATAAAATCAATCAGTACTTACCACTTGAACTATTTCATTCTTCTTCTGATTTTCCTCTGCTCTCTTAAGATTTTCTTCTCTTCGCCGTTTCTTATCTAATTTTGCTTGAAGGCGATCCTGCTCTATCAATCTTGACAATTCTTTTACTCTTTTCAGTTCTTCTCTGAGTTTTTGTTTCCTTTCAAATGATAGCCTTAGCCCTGGTGAATTAATTACCGAACTTGCTCTGAAAGGAGGTGAAGAAAAAAATTCCAGAATAAACAGAATGTTTGTACAAATCACTAAAGTATTATGAATTACCTGGAATAAAACCAGAATAAAGAGCTTAAAAATCCAAGACATTAAAAAAAATTACTAATAGTAACTTCCTCTCCAATTTATAAAAACACTTGCAGACTCGTCTCCTTTCCCCACTAGCCAAATAAAATGAAAGTTACAATAATTTCATACAATAATGATAGATTTAAAAACCAGACATGTTTTGCATTAGTTTAAATTACAACATAAGACACTATTATGGTGACTACAAAAATGTGAAAACATTTGCTGGTCACTAATGAGAACACCCTTCTTCGTGAATGTCGTGTTTGAATGACCTCAATAAAGAAGTCGGGTAAATTCAGAATAAGGACACTACTTCAACTGTCAGATTATTCTAGTTAATGAACAAATATCATGCTAAGAAATAAAATACTTTTCACATTTAAAGATGCAGAAAATGATGTACAAAATTAATTCACACTCTACAAATCATAAATTGCATAACAGAGAATTTTATCAAAACACAACTACGTTTTGTAGTGCAGACCAAGCCCGAAATGGCAATATCAAGAAGGTAAACCTCTAGAATTTAATGAATGCAATCAGTCTGATCTAACCTCTTTTTTTGGGATTTCCATTTTCTGCCGGAAACTATTCGACCCCTCATTTGCACAAAATTCGCGTCGTCTTCGCTCTCGCTGGAGTTATCCTCATTCTTACTCTTTTTCTTCTGTTTTTTTATTTTTTTTCGGGGAGTTTTCGCATTTTGTACGTTGGATGGATTGTCGTGTTTCTTTAGTATGTCTTCCGCTCTCAGAACTTCGGCCATACTAAACGGTATAAATCTTGAAAATTAAATTTCAAGAAAAATCAGCTATAACCTCTAAAACAAAGATCACACGCACACGTGCTCTAACATATATACTCTCTGCCTGGCTCCAACTTTCACAGATCCGCGCGGTGTGGCGCAGTGGCCCCTAGGGCCTTATAACCAGAGAGTATATTACTCCCATATAACGTGGTGGAGACCATTAAGGTGGCGCGCTCTGCTGCATCACCTTCTTTACAGGAACTAAAACAGAAACTGCTGCCAACGATACTTTAACTTGCGTGACTGCTGCGTGAGTTCGCGGGTCGCAAGCAGGACCACACTGATACAAAAGATAAAGTCTACGTTCGCGCTTTCTTCAGAGGTTTCTTACAAGTAGAGATTATGAATAAATTGTACATTTAGAAGACACTTTTTCGTATTTCTCACAATTAGCCAATTTGTACATGGAAAGTTGGCGAGCCTAACCGCAGCTGCACCCGGCGACACTAGCACTTCCATAGTAGCAACCTCGAGCTATGTTCCTGATTTTGATGAGAATTTCCCCAGGCGCCGCGCGATAATACGCGAACCCGCAAGCGGAAGCTCTTGGAAGTATCGAGCTCCTACAGAAGTATTTGGATTTACATTTGTTACAAATCCAGGAGTGGCTGAAACTGTGGCGGGTCAAAGTCAATGTGAGTAAGAGCACAGCTGTGCTCTTCACACGAGACAGAGATTCACGCGGCGAGGCCACTCGCGCTTTGCGGGGATGTGATAAATTGGACAAAAAATGTCAAATATTTAGGAGTTACTTTAGATAGCTCTTAACTTTTCAACCGCACTTAGAAAAGCGCGGCAGACCCGAGGCAGATTGCGAAGCTTGTTTCACAGGCGGAGCAAACTGTCAACGGCAAACTGCCTCACGCTTTATAAAGTAATAATTAGCCGCAAATGGACTACGCATGCCCGAGTTGGGCAATTGCAGCAAATTATCACTTAAACAAACTGCAAGTAGTTCAAAACGAGTGCCTCAGGGCCGCCCTCTGCGCCCTAGAGACACTCGTATAGAAACTCTACATCGCGAAGCATCAGTGCCACTGCTAAAGAATCACTTTAAAACTTTAGCTAAAAACTTTTTTGAGAAAGCAGCTGATTCGGAAAATGAACTCATTTCCGCGATCGCCTCATACGAGCCCGATCTAAGGCGAAGTATAGGCGACCGAAACACTTTCTGGAGTAAGAGCAATCGAAACAGAAGTGGGATTGAGGCATAAACATAGTATTACAAAAACACCAATGCGGCGCCGGTAGGCTAATGTCTTTTTGACCGTTGTTTTTTTCTCTTATGTTACAGGATAGGCCATAGATCCCCTAAGGGTAGGAATGGTCCCACGCGGTGGCGTGAACGCGCATTGCACTTTAAGTGCGTTGACAAAACTGCACAAATTTGCTCTTGAAGCTCTCTTTTTCTTGCCACCACGCGCCGAGTAAGCAGCTGCTCTTTTATCACCGTTCGCCGAGTCAACACTTTCGTTAAACATTAGATATTGTTTGCCGCTGCAACGACTACTAGGTAGGAGTATTCGGCGTCGAACAGATCTTCTAGTTAGTCGTTCGCGAGATAGTGCAGATTTAAGTAGTGTTTCTTCAATTAACAACACGGGAAGTAAAAGTTACCCGTTGTGAAGGAAACATGAAAAGTTCTGGCTTAGCAAAGTAAAAGTAGCAACGAGCGAGAACTTGCACGAGTAATCAGTAAAGTTCAAGAGACATTTTCGCAACGTGGCGTAGTCACAGGCGCAGACGAGGTAGAAGATAACGGACGGACCCAGGCGTACGAGAAGAAGACGGAACGGCTGGGAGAAGAACGGAAGAGGACGCAAGAAGCAACGCAGACGCAGAGGCGAATTCCGTCTCTTTACGACGCAGAAGCTGGGATCGAAACGGCCAGCGCGACCGATCGACGCAGTGACCAGCGCACGACCATCAAGGCCAAAAGTAGGAAGTCCACGAAAGTAACATTACAGCGAGAAAATAGTCAAGTTCACGTCGGCAGGGAAAAACTAGTATAGGAAAGTGATAAGATTTGAGGACACGTGGCAACAAATTACAGTATTTATTACAACATTTACAGTATAGGAGACGTTTTGATGCGCTATTGCCTAACCTAAAAACATTATACTTAGGACATTTATTATTCGCTATTTTCAGACACAGTTAAATTGTAAATGAGAGTAGTGCACTTGCACACATTCTGTTCATTACATTAATATCTTGAAGCGAGAGATTGTAAATTGAATTTTGATTTCACGTGCAATGTAATTAGAATAGCCACAAATTTAGATATAATAATTTACAAGGAATTCCCAGTGTAGTTTAGGGTAATTATTTCAGAGTATCAATCTGAAGTAAATTATATGTGTTCATCATATGAGTGTTTGTTGTAAAGGTTTTATTTGTGTTTTGATCATTCTTTGTAAAAGGTGATTCTATATTCTTGTTTTTGTCATTAACTTATGCCACTAAAAGTTTATGGTAAATTATACGCTCGTTTGTGTGCAATCTTGATTTTTTATTGTGTCAAGGGTTCAAACCTTTCTCGCCACCCTGAAGATCCTGCTCCCTAGATTTTTAAAGCTCGCTTCACGACAAAATCTTGATAACCCGCTTACGCGTTCATGCCTGCTACTGTGAAGGTGGTAAGTTGTCGGTAGGTGGGTTGGCTTGAATATAATATCATATATATATATATATAATTATATATATATATATAATATATATATATACTATATATATGATAGTACTATATATATATATATACACTATGTATTGCTACATAAAATAATAAATAATTTGTAACAAGGTATATAAAATTCCACCTTAGAAATTTTTTCTTTATTCAAATTGAAATATCTACACGTTTGTCCCTCCCCTATTTATCTGCTCAGTATGGCCTCTGACACCATGGAAGGTAGTGTTGAAGGTTTGTTTCTTTGCAAAATGCAAGATTTTTGCAAAAATTGCAAATAGTTTTTGAGTAGGAATGACATTAGTTATTAAGTGAGCTCATTTGTAACTGGTACATCTCTATTATAATATACAGGATATCCCGTTTAACTTGACAACTTGAAATAACTAAAAAATACGCGATGTACGAAAAATTGGGCCGAGGCCAAATCTTAACAGTCTTGAAGGGGGAATCATTCTATGCTAAAATCAGCACCCCCTGCCCCCAGCGAGTGGGCGGTGGGCAACGTTGAAATCTTAAATAGGAACACCCAATTTTTTCATATTCGGATTCTACGGACAAAAATACTTAAGTTTTGTCTTTTTTCTGATTTGTGATAGGTGGAGCTGTAATCGCAGAAATTTGATTTCCGACTAATTTGAGTAGTTTTTTAGCGTGGTGGATTATTTCAGGGTGGTTAATAAAAATCAGTATTTTCTACGGAAGTCAGTAAACTACTTTTAGCGTAACCCAGGAACAACGACGTGGACGTAGTAGTTTTCTGTTCCGTTCGGGGTGCCTGTTTTCAGTGAGTCCCCTTGCCTCTCACTATGGGAGGGCTGGTTTTAGATGATTATACAAATACTTCAGCATTTATTTAAAGTAAGTGCTCAAAATGATGGCCCTGAACCTCAATTCATTTATTGATTCGTCCTACAAATTCGTTGCATCATGTTTTCACGAGCAGTAGGAGTTTCTTTATAAATGACATCTTTTAAGTAACCCCACAAAAAGAAATCTGGTGAGGTAAGGTCTAGTGATCTGGCTGGCCAGTGCACTGGTCCTTCTCTAACCTGATGTCCTGAACCTAACGTCCTGATCTAACGATTATTGTAATCCCGACAGGGCCGGATTTAAGTAGTGCGGGGCCCCAAGCACAAAATTGTGTTCGTCCCCCACCCCCCCGAAAAAATAGCTCCATCTTTATTAAATAAAAAATGTATTACAATACAAGTACTTTCTGTGCAGATACAAATGAAACCTGATAAATTTTTATAGAAATTTGTACTTGTGTTACATTTTTTTTACATTAACTACATTTAACATAATTTTTTTTCTGCTCTTCACTGCATATTTTTCCGAAACGCGGGGCCCCTGGTGAATGGGGGCACCCAAGCAACTGCTTGTTTGTAAATCCGGCCCTGAATCCCGATATAATCCCCGCGTGCAACTAAAGAGTAATGTACTGGTGAACCATCATGTTGAAACCATATGTTTTGTCGCACTTCCAAACTTACGTCTTCGAGCATTCTCGGTAGTTCTTTATCAAGGTTTCGGTACTTGTTACCATTTAGATTGCCGTCAATAAAGAATGGTCCGAAACGTTTATCGCCAATTCCACAAACGTTAACCGACCAAGGTCGCTGATGAGTTACTTGACGAATCCAGTGTGGGATTTCTACACTCCAAAAATGCATGTTATGGCGGTAAACTTCACCGTGGTTTGTAAATGTCGATTGATCAGAGAATAGTACTTGATTAAAAATGTTCGGATTCGTTTGTATTCTCTGAACTGCCCATTGGCAAACCTGTGGTCGGTTTTGAAAGTCATGATACGGATAAAATGTATGTATCTTCAGTATCCTCCAAACACTCATACGAGGTTGTCAAGTTAAATGGGACACCTGTATATCAATTTATTTTACTTAAAACATAAAAGGTAGAAAAAGAGTTGTTAGAAAGGGTACTGTTAATTTTAACTTGGAATTTACGATTAGGTAATAAACTAGCAATAATATTTCGAAGATATATCAACCATCAACGAGTTAGAGGCTCCAAAATTTTTGATCAAACTTTGTTTTCGGATAGTCATGAATATTGAAGAGAATTGTGGTA